AATTTTACTGATCCAGGAGCCAAGAACTGTTGCTCATTCTTGGGCTGTTGGATGGCCCTGCTGGCAGGGTTGTTTGTTTGCCTAAGATTATTCATGTTTGCTGGGGACACACCACACACACACACAGCTCTCCAGTACTTAAAAAAGACCATGACAACAAAACAACCTCTCCTTGAGCCTGGGACTGGGCCTGAGCAGTACCTGTATGGGATTGTTGGCCTGGAGGGGCAGCAGTCTGCTCGCTCATGTATTCCCCAAGTTCTTCAAATAAGGCTTTCCCTTGTTGAGGGTACAAAGGTAAAGAGCATGAGGGGCTCTGAGTCTATTTACAGCAAGCAGACTGTGAGTGTTGAGAGACAAGCAGGTGGTGGACAGGAAAAAAATGAGAGATAAACTGCCAGGGAAAACACATCAAGATAGGGCTACTTGTCTTGAGGTTAATATTTTCAGTAAAAGGACATATCCAAAAAAATCACCCAGTCAAAAACAAACCCTAGAAATCTGTGAAAGTGAGAATGCCAGGAGGGAGCGGTGGAGGGTGGAGAGAGGTAAGGACGGAGGGGACACAATGGTCTGCCATGGGGGGCTGTGGGTGTGTGGGCGGTGGGTGGGTGATAAAGAACATCTGAAGAGCTGCAATCCTGTATCTTTAAATAATACACTGTGGTGGACACCAATATTACCTCAGTAAATTTAAAAATTTTTAAAAAGTAAAAGCTAAAAAGTCAGTGGTTTCATCTATACACCACAGAAACCTTGTAAGGTCTACATGTACATTTCCTACTCAAAGGCAACTAAGATGTTTCAGATTAACCTGAAGAAAAGGTGACACAATGTTGCTCTGAAGTATCGCTACATTTATGCAAAATAATAAAATATAACCTATTGGGAAAGGAATTTGAACAGCACATGAAGTTTATGCTTTGTGTATTTAAACTTCTTTAAAATAGAAGCATAAAAATTTCTACAAATATAGGCTCCCCAATTCAAACACACAAAATAAGTAACTCTGAGAACAAAATTGAACTTTAAGTGTCCCATGCATGTTCTTTGTGAGGAAGTTATCTTAAAATATTTCTCCTACTCAATCACAAGCCTCTGTGATTTGAATTTTCTTTTTAATATAGTCATTTTATATTAAGTGTTCTTCCATCACAAAAGGATGAAAAGCAAAACTGATAAGTTATATAATATATAATGTCAACACGTTTTTAAACACACAATTTCACCTCAAAATTAATCAAATCCTTTCCTGAAATACTTCAGCTGCTCAGGGGTAGAGAGTCATTCACTGTTCTGATCTCAGTACCGACCATAAAGCCTGCCTCATAGTAGGGCACAATAAATATTAGCTGAGTTATCACTACTGATGCCGGCGTGTGTAACAACTGCTGCCGCTTTACCACGAGTTCTTGTCTCGCGAAACCGTAGAAAGGAATTCACAGACTTTTTGGAGTAAGTAAGCAGAGAGAGACAAATCTTGTCTTTGAAAGAAAAGTTTATTTAGGAAGAAAAGAGACAAAGAAGAAAGACTCCCAGGTATAAGGTACCTGGGAGGGGCCGAGATGAGCCGGTACGGGATATTACATTGGCAATATATACTTTTTCTCCCTCATTATGTTTAAATTTCACTCTCTCGCTCCCTGATTGGTTAACTCCCAGAGGGTCTCACACTTACTAAGTGGGGGAATTTCACATTCTTTATCTAACAGCTTTCCCTTTCTCCACTTGTCATGCTTGTCACTTTATCTTTATGGCCTAGTCCTCTGGGTGAGCATCTCTACACTTTATCTTTATGGCCTAGTCCTCCAGGTGAGCATCTCTACATTGAAGTTAAACAGCTGCCCTTCTAAGTTGTCCATAAATTAAACCACTCTCCATTTCTCTAGTCTCCACCTCCCTTTCTCACCTGAAGAAAACCAGGACCATTGTTAACAGTATTAATATTGTCCGTGGCCCTGGGATATTTGTTTTTCCTAATGGAGTTGGTTACATTCCCTTGGTTGTCCTTATCTCTGAAGCCTCCCTAAATTCTTCAGAGGTCCCCTCCTGCACTGTCCCTGAAACTGCCTAATAACCCTAGCTTGCCCTGTGTCTCACTACTATGAACACACACACACACACACACACACAAATGTGCAACCGTCAATCCACCTCTGGGTAATGCCCTTCCTGCAAACACGGTCAACAGAGCAATCTTCTGAGCAGAGGGGAATATTTTTAAATTGGCACGTCAACATTTAAAGAATGAGCTGAGGGTTTGTACTTGTTGATTTACAAAAACACATCGATTTTATTCATTTTGAGCTGAGAATCAGTTTAGGAACACAAGAGGAGGCAGAAATGTAGGCATGTTGATTTTTCAGAGACCCTGCCAGTCAGCAACTCCTATACTGCAACACAAATGCATTCTTTGCTGTTTTCCTTGGAAAATCATAAGAGTGTGCACTGAGTGTGTCTTATCAGCTTCCAGGTGTAGGCAGTTCGCCCAGCCACTTCAAACAGGGAAGCAGGGATGGGGAGGCTCAGGCTGGGATGGAACCCAGGATGATTCCGCTGGGGTGAGGGCCTTCTCAGATACAATCCCCGATTATTTCCATGTCACCTGAACTTCCTGCTGTTTCCTTTGATTTTTTTTTTTTAAGATCCATGGTAACACACATAATGAAGGATTTGTTTACTCTTACAGAGGAAATAACTGAAAACAAATAAATAGGCTGCACTTCTTACTCTACCTAACCTATGATGACCCTTTGTGATCCTGCTGATTGAAACAAATGAAAGAGATCATCCCCTAGCCTGAAGCTGATCGCCTGCAATGAGGCTTTTGTATTTACACAGTGTTTCAAAGGCTGTTTGACACTCATCTGAAATCACCCACTGCCCCCTTTCTCCTCCTTTGTGTTCAAGATTAAGATTTTCTTCCTGTGCCCCTCTCACAGCAGCACATTTGCTGGGAGGGAAGCACATTTCTGACTCTTCCCTGTCCTCTCCTATTTGTTTTGGTTCTTCTTCCATCTTTGCCACTGATGCACTGGGTTTTCTCTAGGGACTGATCTTCTGACTGGATTGCTTTTCTGACACCTTTTAAGTAGCTGTGCCCTTTCACACTGAGTGAAAACTGTTCCTTCGACCTTCTCCCCTACAGCTTCAAAATCTACAACAACCTTCTGAAAAACAGTATTTTTCTCGCAGTGTCAAGAGTAAAATCTAGCAGTGATTCACATATGGTACTGAATTTTAAGCTGATGATTCCCACGTGTGAGTTACTGCTGGATTCTACTCTCTTGAGTTCTCAGACCTGTTTTGCTATTTTCTGCAGTGCTGAGATGTGAAGCCCTCTTTCACGCTCAGAAATTCAGGCTCACAAACTCCCAGGACGCACTGGAAGTCACGCTCCTTTCCTCCTGTCCTCTCTCAAGTCCCTGAGAAAAGTCTCCTGTTTTAGTTTCTCAGTCTCAATGGTTGAGTAACACTGTAGCTACAGACTACAAAAGAGTTGGAAGGAGATGGTATTTGCTACATAATAGGTAGAGGAAAATGGCAAGGAATAGTATCAAAGCTTAGTGGAAAATTTTAACACAATTTGAAGAACCTTTGAGACTTACTAATTACATCTGTTTATTAATTTGTTCACACATCTATTCACACAAGTTTCAAGTGCATATTCATTGTCATGCCTTGTAGAAGGGGCTGGGGAACAGCTTTGATGATTCACTTGCAGCATAAAAACTTACCCCAGCATCCTCTGATATCATGTGTGAAATTTAGAGTGCTCTGACTTCATCAATACAACATCACGGTGGTATAATTTATTTCATTAATAATCATTATGCCATCCCTCTTACGAGTACAAGTTTGCACATTTCCCACACCAGAGAAACAGCTTTCTCCATATTGTCCTGACATGTAAAGGCACTCTGAAACAGTCCCGTTTTGTTGATCATCTACATACTAGAACACAAACAACCGATCCAGACCCATTTGGTGCATCAGCTTGGTAATCAGACTGAAGCCAAAGGCCTGCTATGTTCACAGAGCACCCGACCAACTCACATAGAGACCTGCCAGCCAGGCTTCCTGGTAACACAGAGCCAAACAGCACCACCGAAGTCTGCCACACAGGCAGTATAATGTCCAAAACACATGGGTCATCCAAGAAATATGAAGTTGAATTAATAAGGCCAGAATTCCCTTTGAAAGGCCAGCAGACAGCATGGCGCCAGCATGGTATCAAGCTCCAGACCAACATCAACTTCTATAAATCAGTGGTAGCATCTAACCTCTTTTGGTGCAGGGTAAATTTGAACCTACCACAGATGCCACATCTGTCTTCTTCAGCAGTTCCACTTGAGTCACCTTTCAGCACTCGTGAATATTAGACACCCAGCACATCCAAAGTCATAAAAGTCCTGAGATGGGATTGGTCTACCACACTTAAAGCCACATTTATTGTGGACCACAAGGGTTCACAGACTGGTCAGCCACAGCATAAAAGCATGCCCCCTTCAGAGGGTTGTTTGCTGGAAGAGGGCATGAGGGAACCTGCTTAGGTGGTGGTTAAGAAGTGATATACAATTTCTAATTAACACAGAATGAATTTCACATTGTTTCTTAGAGAACAAGGGAGTTTATATCAGGTTTCTTGGTGGGTTTTTTGGGTGGCAGACAAATCTTTTTTTTTTTTTTTTTTTCTTTTTTTTGATGGGACCCTCGCTGGCGGCCAGGGAACAAACTGGTGCTGCAGAGGCTGCAGGCAGCCTCGCAGCCCAGCGCTCAACCGCTACGCCACCAGGGGAGGCCCAGTAGACAAATCTTAATCTCTTACTCTACTAAATACCTTCTCACCTCCTCCTCTGCACCACACTGAAACAACTGATGAATGAAAGTAAACGCCAAGCCAAACCAATATTATCAACTCATGCGGACAAAAGCTTAAGAACACACCTCTACTATGTAATATTTCTCTTAAAGTAACTAGAAAATAGTCACGTACTTACTGTAACAGTTCCTAGGTCACCTTCCCACTTCAGAACTCCTTTCCAAGTGTGGAAGAAGTGAAGTTGCTCAGGCTTTTACGCTGCCAGCTTCTGACTATCACCTGCAGCCTTGATTGTTTTAATGCAGGAGAAGCTTGGGAGCGTGGGCGCGGTGCACGCTGCCTGATGGTGCACACCTGGAGTGTGATGTGGGCATGCATGACTGTGCACACCTGGGCCTAGAGGCTGAGGCTATAGGGGTAGCATCACTCAGCCAAAAAACGGCTATAGAGGAGCGGCTATGAGAGGAAGAGACCACAAGGGAATCCCAGAGAGAGCTGGGAGAAAAGTGTCAAGATTCACTGGGGGCTCGGGGTCCTCCTGCCCCCCACCCCAGCCATCCTGCTCACCTTGTGCCTGGTTGCCACTGCACCAAGTTTCTAGGTCTTCACCCAAAGGCCCTTCTGCTAGAAAAGGGCAAAGAAAAGAGATTTAAAACTAAGCCAGGCTGAACTACTTTACTAATGAGGCATTCCCAGTAAAGCCTGCAATCTATAACTCTTAATTATGAGCTACAAAGTAAGAAATAAGGAATTTCAACTCTGTGTTGGGGAGGAGTGAAAAAAATAATTAAGAAATAATGCACTTTTACATTCATGTCCTCTATTTAGGAATTAGAGTTCTTACTCCAAAAGTTTAGTGTTTTCAACTATATTTCAACTGTACTGAATTTTCAACTTTGAAAAGCCAATGTATGCCATTTCATGACATAAACTCTCAAATGATAGCAATGTTAAAGCCTAGGTTCTCAATAAAAAAGCCCAGAGGTAGTGGTGAGCTTTAGATTCTATTAGAGTTCATCTAGTTTATCCACCCCAACTTCATAGATGAAGGGACAGAAGTGCCCTATGGATTAGTACAAACTATCACAGGCAATGCAATGTTACTGTCAGACACACAGCAATCCGAATTTTGCACAAAACTCAAGGACATCTGAAACAGCCTCCCCACTATACTGGCTTTGCCATCTTTCCAGAACTACATCTGGTTTGTGGAAGATTTGAAAACGGTCCAGAAAAGACAGTAAAAGTTCCTGGAAGAATGGAAAGAGGGGCCACAAAGAAAGATGAGAAACAAATGGAAGTAGAACAAAGAATCCTGTAGATGAGGTTGCTGGGTAAATAAAGATGTGCCACTGTATGTAGGTAAGGATCTTTTAAACTATTTCTAAGTGGTATACTTCAGAAGCATTAAGTAATTCATATTGTTGGGTGTTACCATCCTCAGAACTCTTCATACAAAACTGAAACTGTACTCATTAAACAATAACACCCACATCCCTCCCCCCCCAAGTTCCTGGCTACCAATTTACTTTCTGGCCTATGAGTTGGAGTACTTTATATACCTCACATAAGTAAAATCACACAATATTTGTATTTTTGTGACTATCTTATTTCACTTAGCATAATGTCCTCAAGCTAAAGTGTTATTTTTAAGAGGGCACTTAACTAGTCTTAGCTGAGGAGTTGACCAGCTGTTTTCCATCTTCCATAAGAACAAACAAGAGAAAATTAGTTCAAATGGCAAGGGTAGAAAAGCTGTCAGATGCTGGAATATAAACTCTTTTAAAGAAAAAAGTATTCTTTAGCACTTACAGAAGGGCTATAAACAATATGTTAACACATATTAAGAGGACTTATTTCCTTATGATAAGATCTCTTAAAATTATGAAATTAATTCAACAAGGCCCAATTGAGTCTCTGACTATAATGATGTGGGAACTACTAAAGAAACAGAACATATTGTCTTTTTCCTTGAAAAACATACAATTTATTCTAAGCATAATATAAATTCCTTCAAATTCTTGTGTTACTTACCATTTTTACAATAAGCCAGGGATAGCAAATGGCTTTCAATTCAAGCACCAACTCTTAAAACTGTTTAGAGACTTTTTGAACCCCTGTGATGAATTCTGAGCCCAAGACTGAGCATAGAAGATGCTCTGATTAGTTATTGTAGTTTGTCATGGGTCAAAAAGAGACAAGGATAAGAGTGTCATCTCCTTGCCATTCCTACAAAACTCTTATATTTTATTATGCATAATTGACTGTTTCGTGCTGATCAGTATTTGTTTCATGTTTGTCTCCTTAGCTAAAATGAGCTTCACATCAGCCATCAGTGCTGCATTTTCTACTTGTTTAGCATTCTCACAAATATAGCACAATACTAGGACCATAGAAATACACAATAGTGTGCCAAGAAACAGGGAGAGGGGTTCTGGGAGATGGCACTGTAGGAATCAGCAGCGATCTGTCTGCCACTTTGGCAATAAAGCACAGAATGTATCTGTATGATGTAACTATTTTGGAATTATGGAGTCTATTGAAAGCTTGAAACGTCCAACAAAAAATTTAGATGGTAAGTAATGCAGGAAAAGAGGGAAAAAAATTGTAGGTATAAAGAAAATAAATAGCAAAATTACAAAGAAAGACCCTCCTTATCAGGAATTACTTTAAATGTAATGGGTTAAACTCTCCAATCAAAACACAGAGATTGTAAGAATGGATATAATATACAATCTAACTCCATGTTGTCTACAAGAGACTCACTTGAGATTCAAAGACACAAACAGATGAAAAATAAAAGAATGGAAAAATATATTACATGCAAATAGTAACCAAAAGAGAGTAGAAGGGTAGTTCTACAAAACAGACTAAATTAAATTTTAAAAGCTTACAAGAGAAAAGAATATTGTATATTAGTAAAAGATTCATTACAAAAAAAGAGATATAATAATCACAAGTATTCACATACATAATGACAGACCAAGAGGAATTTATTTCAGAATGTAACATGAAAATTGATCAAAGTTCCAATGTTACCTCAATAAAAATAAACTATTAGCTCACAAAATAAAATCGGTCAACATTATACACAACATTACAGAAAGAAGGAGCAAAACCCTACGGTCATTTAAACTGAAAAAGCATTGGACAACATGTAATACTCTTCCATGATAAAACACCCAAAAATTAGGAATAGAAGGAAATGATTTAAAAATAATAAAAGACATATAGAAAAAAAAAATGCAAATGTCATTCCCACTGGTAAAAGACCAAAGCTTTTCCCTTAAGGCCAGAACAAGACAAGGACCCCACCCCTTCTATCAATAGAGTACTGGAAGTTTTAGCCAGACTAACTAAACAAGAAAAATAAATAAAAGGGACCCAAACTGGAAAGAAGTATAATTATTGCTGTTCACAGATGATATGATCTTAAATATAGAAAACCTTGAAGACTGCATCACACACACAAAACAAATAAAAGCTATCAGAGCTAATAAGTGAATTCCACCATATAGTAGGATACAAAGTCAACATACAAAAATCAGTTGCATTTTGATATATTAACAATGACCAATCTGAAAAGGAAATCTAAAGAAAATTCCATTTACTCTTGTATCAAAAAAGAATAAAATACTCAGTAATTAACCAAAGAGATGAAACACACATACATTGAAAAGTATAAAACACTGCTGAAAAAAAATTAGAACAGCCATAAATAAAATAGTTTGTGTATCCAGCCTCATCTGCTACCTCTATCCCTTTCTACTTTTAGTCTCTAGCAGTAATAAAGTTCTTGCCATTCCCACAACACATAACTTTCTCGCATACTTCCACGTGCTGTACCTTGCACATACTCTTCCCTCTGCCTGGCCTTGTCCACCCAGTATTTGGCCATCATTCTTCAACTTTCAACTCCAATATGAAGTCCTCTAAATTACCTACAACAGAATGCATCTCAAATAACCTAAGCCTGAGGGAAATTTACTGGGTGATGTAGGTAAGAGAATCCCATGGCAGGTCATAGATGTGGTTTAACATTTCCTTAGACCCTATACCCCAGCCTAACTTCTCAATCCAAAAGGTTATTTACTTTATCCTTCTGCTTTGCTTCAAATACTGATTCAGTTGAGCAGTTTAAAGAGAATTTTTAAAGATAATAATAGCTATAGCAATCTAGATAGACGAATTAAGTATAAAAGAGGTTCTGCCTAGTTGGCTGTCCTATTACGTCTATCAATGACCAGTTTTATCTCATAAGCTCTTTCACTATAATAGAAATAAAAGTAACACATGAAATACTTAAAACTGACCAAAAATAACTGATACAATTAATGGAATAATTTAATACATATTTGTTATTTCATACTTCAAAAATTTGAATCAATCATTGAGCATCCATCATTATTAAAAATGGACCTGAGTAAACATGTATCTGCACCTTTTTTGAGTAATTTGATTTATTAAATATTTTGAAGTCAAAAAAAAAAAAACACAAAACAGAAGTAGTCAGTGAGAATACGGTGTTTCTAAAGATGACTCCAAAATGCTCTCTGATCTAGTTTTAAATGCCTCAAGATGCTATCCTAGTAATAATAAAAAAAAATCATAACATAAAAAAGGAAGAAGACAAATAACCTCTGCAAAATCAATTAGCTGACCCACCCAGGGTAGCGAGAAGCCAAGGGTAGTTGTAAAACATCTGTGTAAGAAAAATATAAAAAGCATATGATCTTGCCTATTTCCAGAGTTACCATAGAAACAGATCTTCCCAAGAATCTCCCCTCTCTTCTATTTAGGTGATCTGCAAACTAGAGTTCTGGACCAAATTTGAGCTAACACTTGTTTTATAAAGTTTTATTAAAATGCAAATGCAACTGTTTTTAAAGATGTATTTATTTATGCATACAGAGCTGGGGTACAGGCCAGAGGTATGGGGGGTGAGAGGACTCACCAGATACAGAGTGGGGAACAGAACAGACAGAATGACTGAAATACACTGAGAGGAGCATCAGGCGAGACAGGAGAGGTCGCCTGTGCCATGTGGGTCACCTCCCTGGCCGGGGATGGAACTCATGCTGCAGTGCCTGTGGGTAGCTTCACAGTGCTGCGTCTTAACCCCCTGTGCCAAGGAGGTCCCAAATGCAACCTTTTTTTAAAAAAATGTATTGTCTACAGCTGTTTTTATATTACAGCTATAGGATTAAGTAGTTGAAACAAAAACTCTTATTCACAAAACTGAAAATATTTACTATCCAGTTTTGTTCCAGGAAAATCTTGTTGCCCTTCACATACAAACTACTAACAACAATTAAGAGGTCACTAGATTTCTACAATAATAGGGGATCACATCTATTTTTTCAAATCTAGTCATGAATTTGACAGAGTCTCTTAGTGAGATACCAAACTTTCTTCTTCACTTTTTTCACTTTCATAATTTGGAGGTAGTGTGAGGGATATAATATGTTAATGACAGATCAATATGTGTATTAGATCAGTAATGATGACCTTGAACCCAAATTGATGAGATTACAGTGACTGAAGGAAATATATAAGTCCTTAGGACTTCACTGTTTGTGCCCACCCCAGGGAGGGATCCAACAATAACATGCTCATTAGTCATT